GGGGCCTGAGTGACAGGCGGGCATGTGAATGGCAAGGGTTCTGGGGGCGGGGTCTGCGTGACTGGCAGGGACCTGGATGGAGGTGGGGTGACCACAGGGCGTGGCCTCAGTGAGACCCGACTGGAGGCCGCGGGTGGGCGGGTCGAGCCGTGGAGTGGGCGTGACCAGGGCGGGGCGTGTTCTAGGTGAGTGGGTGAGCTATCTCTTTGATACTGATCTCAGTGACAGGTGAATAGAACAGTTCGGGTCAGAGAACAGTAGGACTGTTTGGGGAGACCTGAATGAGGAGATCAGGCAGGCCTTCCAGGACAAGGTCTAGATGATAGGGAGGGGTTGGGCGGTAGGGATCAGACCTGTGGGTTAGGCCTGAGTAGTAAGGTGGGCCATGCCTTGTGGGGTTGAGCAATCTCTGAACAGTGGGGCTTGGTTGGCCAGGTGGGTTATGCAAGATAGATGAGACCTCGCAGAAGTGCAGACAGGGTTTGTCAGGTGGGATCTGTCAGGTGGGGCAAGGCCAGGTACATTGTTTCCCAACCCCTGCTCTGTGGGCATGGTCAAGCAGAGTTAGTGGGTACACATGGTTGAACCTCTACCCCAACATCTTAAGAGTGGACTGGGCTGCAGGACAAACGGACTAGGCTGTGCCCAGTGTGGCTGCCTCCACGCACATCTGCACATGGGGGCACCTGGACGCTGTGTGTGCTATCTCCTCACACAGCCCCATGCACATGGGGGACGCTGTACCCTCTGTGTGCTGTCTCCTCAAACAGCCCCCTTCATCTGCACATGGGAGGAATACTGTACCCCATGGGTGCTGTCACCTCATATAGCCCGTGTACATCTGAACATGGGGGGACACTGTACACTGGGGGTGCTTTCTTCTCACACAGCTCCACGCACATGGAGGATGCCGTACCCCGTGTGTGCTGTCACCTCACACAGCTTCACTTTGAGCATCTGTACGGGGGGGGGGGGAGTGAGTGAGCTGGGTAGTGAGTTGCCATGATCAAAATTCACCCTTTGTTGGAGGGCTCAGTAAGCAGGAACAAGGACAGCATTGGGTAAGGAGTCTTTTCTTATGTCTTAGGCTATCTTGCTGTTCCAAGTGAGGCAGTGGATTTCTTCTGGGGACCTTCTTAGGAGATCATGTTCCCATTTTACAAATGAGCAAAGTGAGGCTCAGGGATGCTGATCACTTGCACATGCTCCCACAGTGACCCAAGTGACAGATGCCATTGAACTGGGCATCGTTCGTGGTCTGGCACCACCGTCCTCCTTGGGAGGTATGGAACCCTGCTGAGATTGTTCAGAGGAGCCAGTCACCCACTGCCCTGAGGTCAGCAAGAAGGCATCTGATGGGCTATAGTGGGGGGCTTGTGCTTCCTTGATGTGCATGCCCTGTAATCGCCAGTCTCCTGACCCGGGCAGTGAGAGGTCCCCAGGTGGGATTGCCAGAACTAGGCAACCAATGAGGGAGCTTTTACCCCAGCATCACTGATGGTCATCAGAGCCCTTCAGCAGAGTTGACCATGGCCCAGGGCCCACTTGTCTTCTTCTCGGGAGCTGTGCCCATCTCTCTGTCTGGTCCTGCCTGGCAGGTGCTCAGGAAACTGACTTGGGCTGGTGTGCTTCACCTGTGCAGACACAGGGACAGCTGCTGCACCCTTCTGGGCACCATGGCACACTGTGTGCATGTTGTAGGGCTGGGGAAGTGGTCGTAGCTTGGAGTCCTGGAACTTACTACCACATGGGCAAGGCAGGTTTTTAAAGTTTCTCAAAAGATGTTGGGCCATAGGGGACCAGCAGAGTGCAGTGTCTACCACCTGGGTCGTCAGCAGCTCTGGGCTGGAAAGACCCTCTTGAGCATGGGGAGGTGGGTTTTGGAGATGTGTTTAGGGATAGTGTGGACGTGGGTGTGTAGAGGCACAGTGGGAACCTGGCGTAAAGGAGGATGTGTGTTATACTGGCTGATAGTGCTCTATCCAACTGGGGCATGGGCCAGTGCTGTGGTGAGATTCAGCCTCTGAGGTGGTAGATTGTAAAATTCAGCTCAGATGCTAAAATCACCACCCAGCAGCTATGTGGTGGTAGGGTAAAGCTGGCCATGGAGGGTGGGTGGGGAGTAGAGCAGTGGGAAGGGGGAGCAAGTGGGGTCAAAGGCAGGTGGAGATGGGGGCAGGTGGGAAGGAGGACAGGTAGAGATGGGGACAGGTGGAGAGGAGGGCAGGTGGAGAGGAGAGCAGGTGAGGAGGAAGGCAGGTGGTGATGAGGGCAGGTGGGAAGGAGGACAGGTAGAGATGGGGACAGGTGGAGAGGAGGGCAGGTGGTGATGAGGGCAGGTGGGAGCTGCTTGGCTTTAGACCTATGCTTGTGCTAGGTGCCAGGCTTGCTGGCAGCATTTGGCACCTGTCTTTAGACAAAGGGCTTTTAGCTTTCTCTTGTTGGAGGTGGCCCTGTTGGTATCAACATAGTTGGCACACCCTGTGGGCAGGTCTTTGTCCTGCTGCTGACTCTTAACATGGAGCTGTCTTCTCCATGTTCCAGGTATTGAGAACCTTCCCTGTGAGCTTCAGAGGAATTTCCAGCTGATGCGTGAGCTGGACCAGAGAACCGAAGGTGGGTGTGGATGGCCCTGGGGTTGGGAGCCAGGATCATGGTCAGTAGTACTACTTGCCTGGAACTTGGGTGTAACACCTGGGCCATGGAGGACCTGGACCATTGAGGTGTGGGAAGAGAACTCGGGGTGGCAGAGGATGTGGGGACCCTGGTGTCAAACTTTCGATTGACTTGTCCCTCTGGAGTCAGGATGTACTGTCTCCTTTTGGCCAGAGTGTATGATGTGGACGCTCTTGGTGTGGCCACCGTAAGGCCCCTGAGAGCTCTGGGTCAGTCATTAGTGAATCCTTAGTGTGCTGGTGCGTAGATTGGGTGTCTGGCCCTCCCCACCAAGGTGGGGTCTGATGCCACCCATTGAAGTGGTTGATCTGTTGGAGGTGGCCCTCAGTCAGTTGTCAGGTGTGTCAGGTTACACTAGGGGAAGTGAGGTGCTCTTCACCTTTCTGGTGGCTTTGTGAGAATGAGTCTGAGGGATGGGAAATTTCCTGTGAAGATGCATGTCTGAGAGTATATGAGTGAGTTCTATCCTCATTGTGATGGACAGTTTGAGTGTAGAATTCCAACGCCGGTCTATCAGTTTGTCTTACTGTGGTTGCTTTAAAGTCATGCTGCTGTTTCACATAACAGCAGGGTCACTCACCCATGGTGGACTAGTTTCAGACTAAGAAGAGGTGGCCAGCTACTCCTAGAATAGAGAGCCCTCCAAACCCTCATAAACAGTAGTAGAACCTTGTCAGATATGGTGTCAGGAGATGAACTCCTCAGGTTAGAGGATACTCAGAGTATACTTGGGGAATAGCTGTTCCTCAAAGGAGAGTCGGCCTCAGTGTCTCAGATGAGTAAAGTTGTCACTTAGTGTAGGATTTTCATCTGCTGATGTGGCAAGACTCAAAATGAGGAGAAACAGCTGCAAACATCCATTAACAATTGGGATGTAAAATGAAATAGGAATCTAGGAAGATTGGAAATGGTCCAAAATGAAGTAGAGCTCCTGAAGATCAATATCCTAGGCATTAGTGAACTGAAATAGTATAAAAGGAAGACTGTTACTGTGACTGTAAAAATACTCACGTACCACTAAAGCCAAAGGCGAGGAAAATGAGGATTTCTGCCAACTTGTAACTTGTACAGACTGCAGTTGGCAGAGCGTGTAATCAAGGTGCATTAATGGTAGGTAAATGAAATGCAAAAGTGAAAAATAAAGGAGGAGTGGCAGGTTGAAACTATTACTGAAGAGACAGAATTAAAGCTAGAGAGTTCGTGATAGAATTCTGTACGATGACTTATTCACTGCAAACGCCTTTTTAGGAAGCATAGTTCATGGCTATCCATGTGTATCTCACCTGATAGAAAGTACAGGAATCAGATTGACTGTATCTATAGAAAAGAGACAATGGGGAAGTCAGAACAAAGTGAGGTACTGACTGGAACAGACTTTTAACTATTCATATGCAAGCTCAAATTCAAGTTGAAGAAAATAAAAACCAATCTATGAGAAAGGGAGCTCCTGTGGCCTAGAGGCAAGAAGCTGCACTGCAATCCTGAAGGCGTTATTTGAAACCACCAGATGCTCCACTGGAGGAGGGGCGGTCTCCGCCTGTGCCAGCCAGATCATATTTGATGGTGTGTGTGAGTGTGTGTGCGCACGCATGCACGCACGTGCACACACACACACACAGAGAGAAAACAAATCTGTGAGAGTCGAAACAATCTTGAGTTTATCCACCTGAATTTTAAAACCACCTCACAAATAGATTTGATGTTTTGAACACAAAGGACTGAAGATTGGTAGAGTTGTGGAATAACATCAAGGACAACAGACACGAAAAAGACAAGGAAGAAAGAAAAGTCCAAAGTGGCTATCGTTGAAGCTTACATATGAACATAGAGAAGGCATGCAAAAGGCAAAGATAATAAAAGAGCTAAACATAACATTTCAGAGGACAGCTTGAGAAGGCAAAGAATTTTAACAAAATGTACAAAGAGCTTGGGTTAGAAAAATCGAAAGAGAGGAATACACTTGGCATTTCTTAAGCTAAAAGAATTGAAGAACAAATTCAAGCCTCATATTACAATATGAAAGATTTTCTTTAGGCAAAATCTTGAATGATGTAGCAATTATCAAAGGAAGATAGAAGAAGTTCACAGAATCCCTGTACTAAAAGGAATTGGTTAACACCAAATCAATTCAGAAAGTGCCGTATGATCAAGAACCAGTTCTAGTAGAAGTTGTCCAAGTTGCACTGAAGGCTTTGGCAAAACTAAGACACCAGGCTTGCTTAAACTCCCCACCTGCCATCTGCTATCTTCCTGTAGATCTTGTTAGCCTACAGTCACCTCCACAAGCCCTCGGGGCTTGTGACTCCTGGAGCTGCATCCTTGGCGCTGAGACGCCTGAGTTGCAGTCTCCACCAGAGTGATGCCAGCCCTCAGGAAGCCTGTGGCAAGACTTGCTTGCTCAGAGCCTTCAGCAGGTGTCAGTTCCCTGAGGTGTACAGGTTCACAGTGATCCATGAGGTCGATAATGCCGTGGACAGATAGCAGGTAGAGTTAGCTTTGTGGGACACAATTGGGCAGGAAGATTATGATCCTGTCTGGACACCAGTGTTAAACTGATGTGTTTTTCCATTGACAGCCCTTAGAGTTTAGAAAACATCCCAGAGAATTTTAGAGTGTCAAACTTTGCTGTCCCAATATGCCATCATCCTGGCTGGGAACAAGAAAGACTTTTGGAATGATGAGCACATAAGATGGGAACTGGTGAAGATGAAGCAGGAGCCAGTCAAACCCGAAGCGGGCAGAGATGCGCCAAACAGGATTGGTGCTTTTGGGTAAATGGAGTGTTCAGGAACAGCCAGACCTAGAGTGAGGAAGGTTTATGAAGTCACCATGAGAGCAGCAGCTAGACATGGGAAGGAAAACTTGGTACCTTGTCTGCAAAGCCTTGCTGAAATCACAGTCCTCACGTGGTTGATTTCCAAGTGCTGTTCATTGACTTCAGTGTATGATTACTGGACTTTTCCTTTATAATTTATTTGGCCACTGTACACATGTGCAAAAGACCAGATGAGCTGTGAGAAGATATCAAGAATATCATCCAGGAATAAGACAGAAAGTCATTATAATGACAGTAGAGGAAGAAAAGACTGAGATGGATGTCAGAAGAGACTAAATATTGCAGTAGAGCACTGAGAAGCCAAAGCAAAGGGAAGAAAACAAGTTAAGGAGCTCAATAAAAGATTTCAAACGGCAGCATGGGAAGATAAAGCAAAGTATTATAATGTGATGTGCAAAGAACTGGAGTCAAAAAATCAAAAGGGATGAACTTGCGTGCTATTTCTTAAATGGAAGGAACTGAAGAACAAATTCAAGCCTTGAGTTGCAGTGCTTAAGGATGCCATGGGCAGAATATTGAATGAGCCAAGAAGCATCAAAAAGAGATGAAAGGAGTACAGTCACTATACCAAAAAAGAACTGGCTGACAGAGAAGAATTTAATGGAACTGCATATGATCAAGAGGCAATGGTGATGAAGGAGGAAGTTCAAGCTACTCTGAAGGCATTGGCAAAAACACCCAGGAATTGATGGAATACTAATTGACATATTTTAGCAGATGGAAGGTACCCTGAATGTGCTCACCAGGTTGTGCCAGGAAGTCTGGAGGACAATTACCTGGCCAACTGACTGGAAGAGATCCATATTTGTTCCCATTCCAAAAAGAGATGATCAAAGAGAATGCAGATATTATTTAACAATATCACTAATGTCACATGCAAGCAAAATCCTGCTGAAGATTATCCAAAAATTAATGACTAACAGTGCATCAACAGAGAACTGCCAGATGTGCAAGCTGCATTTAGAAGAGGCCGTGGCACTAGGGACATCATAGCCAATGTTAGATGGATCTTGGCAGAAAGAGAGTGCCAGAGAAATGTCTATCTGTATTTCATTGACTATGCAAAAGCATTTGACTGGGTGGATCACATTATATTGTGGCTAACAACAACAACAACAACAACAAATATTGTGGCTAACATTGAGAAGAATTAGAATTCCAGAACCTGATTGTGCTCATGCGAAAACTATACTCAAACCAGGAAGCAGTCATCAGAACAGAGCAAGGGAGTACTGCATGGTTTATAAGTAGGAAAGGGGTACATCAGAGATGCCCTCTTTTTCCATAACTTTTCAATCTCTATGCTGAATGGATCATTTGGGAAGCTGGACTTTATGAGGAGGAGTGTGGCATCAGGATTGGAGGAAGATTCATCAACAGTCTTGAGTTACGTAGATGACACAACCTTGCTTGTGGAAACTGAAGAGGACTTGAAACATTTGCTGCAGAAGTTAAGGACTGTGGCCTTCAATATGGATTGAAACTCAACATCAAAAAGACAGATTCTCACCACTGGGCCAATTGGCAGCACTATAGATGGGGAAGAGATTGAGATTATTAACAATTTCAGCTTGCTTGGCACCAGTAGTCAGAAAATCAAAAGTCTAATTTTATTAGGAAAATCTGCTGTTAGGGCCCTCTCTGGACTGCTAAAGAGCAATGATATCAGTCTAGAGACCAAGGTACACCTGATCCCAAGCCATGGTCTTTGCAATTACTTGCTATGCATCAGAGAGCTGGACAATGAATAAGGATGACAGAAGAAGAATTAATGCATTTAAGTTGTAATGTTGAAGAAGAGTATTGGACTTGGACTATCAAGAGAACAAACAGGTTTTTCCTGGAGAGGTGAAACCAATTTGTTTTTTAGAGGCAAGGATTCTGATGCCCTGTCTGTCATACTTTGGCCATGTTCCCAAGAAGGACCAGTCCTTGGAGAAGGACATCATGCTTGGAAGGGTGGAGGGACAGACCAGGAGAGGAAAACCCTGGATGAGATCTATTGACACAGTAACAAGGATAATAGGGATTAGTGTGTCAGAAATAGTGAGACTGGTTCAGGAGAGGACAGGGTTCAGAGCTATTATATATAGCATCACTGAGTTGCAGGCAACTTGACAGTGCATAACAGCATAATTTACCTAAGATTATAAATCAGAAATCTTGATACCAGTATTTATAAGTCAACCATGATTATTAATAATGTCCAGTGAGGGTCTCTCAACACTGCTCTAATAGCCCTCCTCTGCTGTCCCACCTGATATTACAGGTGCTAATTCAAGGAATTCTTGCCGCTTTCTAGAAAGTGAGTAAGTTGTTAACGTTTATGAATTAGGCCATAACTATTTTATACTGGGAAAGTCTGCTGTTAGGGACCTCTCCAAAGTACTGAAGAGCAATAGTGTCACTCTGGAGACTAAGGTGCATCTGATACAGGCCATGGTTTTTGCTATCACTTGTTATGCATCAGAGAGTTGGAC